TAAAAATTGACTGGTTTTCATTAATCAAATGACTGGCATGATTTATAAAGAAAGAAAAGCATGTACAACTATCCATTGTTATAGATGTACTATACCATTTCTATACAATTTTAGTATACAATTGCGCTATGTGCCCATGCAATATACAGCTGCTATATATGTTCATACTCTCCGATCAAAGTTGAGATCATTTGAAAGGAATCATGGAGAGTTTGGAAACAAATTTTGAGAATTGACATGGAAAATGACATTTTGTTTAAAAGTCCGCGAGCTGAGTGGTGGAGGGATATAGGGCAGTGAAATTGTACCTGCCAAATATTCTTGTCGAACATAGTAACATTCGACTTCAATATGTTTTGTGTATTCATGAAACTAAAGATTTTTTGAAATATACATGGCAATCTTGATATCGCAATCAAGTGGCATGGGAGAGGTAATAGTAACACCCATTTGTCTGAGCAAACAATAAAGCCAAACAATTTCAGTGGTAGTTTGCTTCATAGCCTTGTATTCTACTTTAGTGGTAGATTGGGCAATATGTTTTTGTTTTTTGCTTTTCTAGGACATAAGGGAATCACCTAGAAAAATACAGAACCCCGTAGGAGATTTGCGATCACTTGGATTTCCTTCAACATCTGAGTATGTATATGCATGTCGCTCACGCGAGGAAAAAGAAGAGAAAAATAAAGCCCAGTGAAGGATATCCCTGATATGATGGATGATGCGCAAGACAGACGCTAGATGAACAAAAAGATGAGTATTCAGTAACTGACCAACTACATGTATACATTAGCAATATCAAGGTGTGAAATCATTAGATATAATGGTTTTCTGACCAGCTGTATCTTAAAGGTTGGATCAGGGAGAGGTTCACCATTTGAAGCCCTAAATTTAATATTAATTTTATTAGGGGTATCAACTCTCTTAGCATAATCCTTTAGTCGGGCTTGTGAAACAATCTCTGGGGCATAGTTAAGTTGCCAAAGAAAATAGTTGTGAGGGGAATAAACGACTTCTAATCCGAGAAAATAGCGCAAGGGCGCTTTCATTTCAAATGCTTGATTGAGTTTTTGTTTACTCTTATGAATAGTGCCCATATCACTACTAAAGATTACATATTATCCACATATAGTAACCAAAGAGCTTGTTGTTCAGAAGTTTCAAACACAAATAGGGGTAGATAGTAATGGCTCTGTCGAAATCCAACGGAGATGACTTCATTGCAAAATATGTCTACCCAAGCATGAGTGCTTGTTTGAATCCTTATAGAGCTCGTCGAAGTATACACACCCTATTTTGAGAATCAGTAATTCCAGGAAGCAACTTGATATATACTTCCTCATCAAGATTACCATCGAGAAAAGGATTTTTATCATCTAGCTGATAGAGGGGTCATTGTTAGATGGAAGTTGAAATTAGCATCCGAACCATAGTCATATGGGCCACTGGGGCAAAAGTTTTTAAAAATTTGATTCCATATTGCTAGTTGTAACCTTTTGCCATGAGACCATCATATCATTCAATAGTTGTCTTCCTTTGAAAAAGGTACAAGATCCCAAACATGCGCACAATCAACTCATCTGTCATGACTTCTTCCTACTCAGATTGACTTCCAACTTCTTTTACTCAGATTGACTTCCAACTTCTTTGTAAGTATAGAGTTTAAAATAAGAATGAATAGAAGCAAGAAAGGATTTGCGTTGAGATAAGAAGGTTTCATAATCAGCAAAACGGGTAGGAGGGATAGAGACATGGTCTTGCATCTAAGAGCAAGGACTGACACAAAGTCAACAGGTGTAGGCGTTCGATCAGGATTGTCAGCATTTGTTAATTGAATTTCTTGGTTTTTGAGTTCAAGGGCAAAATTGGAATGTCCATAAGAGGTTAGGATAGTATCAGAAATGGGACCGAAAACAAAGGTAAGAGGATGAGTTATCATCTTTATTTTTAAAAGAATATATGCTTTAAAAACACAACAGGTCTGGATAACCCGTCTTTTTGTCAGAAGGTCATTGCATCCATATCCTTTTTGATGATCAGGATAGCCCATGAAACGACATTTTACTGGTTGTGAAATAACTTGTCTCTTTCAATTGAGGGTAACAATACAAAATAAGTATATTCAAACACACGTAGAAGGGAATAGTGAAGTGTTCAATTGATCAATTTTCTAAAGAGTGACTGTCAAGATAAAATATAGGATGGCATAATGTTGATGAGATAAATTATTGTACGAGCAACTTTTGCCCAAAAAGCATTTGGGACAAAAGTGGACATAGGACGTGCTCTTGTGGTTTCTAATATATTGCGATTTTTATGCTCCGTTAGAGAAAATTTTTAGAGCAATCCACTAATGTATTCACCTCTTGAATATGAGAGTAGGGCTTAAATTTTGGTAGAAAATTTAGTGAAAATGCTATGACGAGTGTGATCAACAACGAGTGTTTCTACATGCGAATTTAATTAAGTGAAAATCTATAAAGTTCAATGCGATTATTCATAATAAAAAATGCACGTATAAAAAGTTTGATCATAAATGTAAGTTACAAAATATCGTGATCCCCTTTTACATAGAATAGGTGCAGGTCGCCACACTTTAGTATATACAAGTGTGATCATAAATGAAAAAGAACTACTTCAAAAGAAGGGCAAAGCATGAAATTTTGAATGTTTACAAGTCATAATGTTTAACATTAGTAAAGTTCATATTATCCACAGTATTAGGAACATCACGAGATAATAAAACTGATGACCAAGAAGTAGCAATGTGACTAAGGACTTGATGCAACAAAGATGTCATCAATAGTGAACACACGACAAACTGACGATGTTGGCATATGAAGGTATTCTAGGTAGTATAGATTTCCAACTTTATGCTCAGTCCCAATCAACTTCCCTAACTACCAATCTCGTATGTAGCAACCAGATGGATAAAAAATAACATTATAATTTGATCGAGTAATTTGACCAATAGAAAGTAAATTCATGGCAATTGAGGGAAAACAATAGACATGAGAAACACTTAATTTACCAGAAGTTTTAGAAGTAAGGGATATATAGCCAATTTTTTAAACTTTCATAGTGACTACATCAGCAGTATAAATAGGAACATCTTTAATCGCATGTTTCATGAATGACTAGCGAGAGAGCTCTGTATAACATAGCGCTTCTGGAACTTTTAAATTATGGTCAAATTGTCGTTAAAAATTCAATGACTCAAACTTCAGTTCATGACTTTGCAATAAGTTTTGCAATAGGAACATTTTTAATCGCAATTTTCATGACTGCCAAAAGCATCCTAGAGCATCTTCATTGATGAATAGTAGTCTTACATGGACTGATCTCATTGTCTGAGTAAACGCTTCTGTATTAACTGATATTTTTGTGGCTAGTTAACCCCATTATAAATTTCCTCAAGAAAGGTTCATGCTTCTCATATAATTTTGAAGGTACTTAAATTGATCCCCATGTCACTCTCTGATGAACCTACAACCATGTTATTTCAAGCATTATTTATTCTACACTCTTCTATTTTTTTTTTATCATCAGGTTTCTTTTTAGTTTAAACTATATAATCCAACAGCCCTTTTCCATGTATGACATTTTTCACAAAGGACACCAAGAAGGTGCAGTTATTAACAATTAATTTTATAAGAACAAACTGAAAAGATTCATATTTTTCCATTTTACCACCTTTTTAATATCCAAAAAAAATTGTATGTCACTATTTACAAAAGTGGTATGTTTGCAAAAAAAAAATGTGATGTAAAATGACATGTCAATATTTACAAGAAAATGGTCCTTCACCTATTCCAAAAAGGGTTGTCCGTCACTATAGAAAGAGTTGAGGAAAAAGGCTTACACTCTTCATAGATATAGAGAGAGAGGGAAGGAAACAGACACAGAGAGAAAAAAAGAAAACCAGGAGAGAGTGTAAGAACATAAAAAGTAAAAGTGTAGAGAGAGACCAAAAAGAACAACCAAGCAAATGGGGGAGGAGAGAGAGGAAGAACAGACTAATCTGTTTGAGAAAGTTTACGACTCTGAGGACTTCAAATAGATGAGAGATCTCCAAATAGGCCTCAAATATGAACGAGATATCTCTAACAGCCCATCAGAGAAGTGAATCACAAAGATAACCCAAAAAAAAAACACCAGATCTATAAGAAATTATGTGCTATATTCAGATCTGTGATGAAATCTGGTTTCAAATGGCAGTTTCAATTGTTGGTTTTTCAAAAGAGTGGTATTGCAGAGTGGTTTTCAAAAGATAAGTGGTTTTGCAATAGCTTTGCATTGAAAGACAATTTTGCATAGTAGTTTTAAAAAGGAGGTTTGAACAAGTGGTTTCTCTTAAGGCTCACAAATCTGATCGGCTAGGCTCTGATACCATGTGAGATAAAAATGGACCGTAGTTTTCATTGATCAATTAATGTTCCAATGGTGTGATTTATACAAAATGGAAGGCACGTACGTACAATGTACAAGTAGCAGTTGCTATAGATGTAAGTTACAATTCTTTGCAATTTCAGTATATAGTTGTCATGTGCCCATGAAATACATGGTTGCTATATATGGTCATTTCTAAAATCGTATAGAAATTGTATCATACAGCAATAACAACTACTAGCCGTACATTGCAAAGTACATGCCTTCTTGTATAAATCTCATCATTGTAATATCAATTGATTAAGAAAACTATAATTAATGTTAATCTCACATGGCATCAGATCCTAACTTATCAGATCTGATCCTAAACAGAAACGGCTCCTTGAAACCACCTTTTAAAACCACTTTACAAAACCATTAGAAAAAGCACTCATCTTTGGGAAACCACTATGCAATATCACTCTTTTGAAAACTACAAAAAAAACTATTTGAAACACCCCCAAAACCACCCACTAAAAAACCAGTCATTGAATTTGCTATGTGAAATCAGATTCTGTCACAAATCTAATTATTACACATGTTTTCTTACCAATCTGGTGTTTCTTATCTAGGAAACTATGTGGTTCTATGAGTTACTTCTCCAATGGGTTGCTGAAGATCCCTCATCCAGATTTGAAGCCTAATTGGAGATCTTCCATCTGGTTTGAAGCATTATCAACCGTTGACTTTCTCAGATATCGGTCTGTACTTCCTCTCTATCTCTTTCTTATTCGCTTGGGTCTTCTTTTTGAGTTTCTATCTGCACTTTATCTTTCCGAGCCTACAGTCACTCCTATTTTTCTTTTCTTTTTATCTGCATCTATTGCTTTCACTCCGAAGCACGTGCCTTCTCTATCTCTCTAAGAAGAGGAATGTCAGTTTTTTTTAATAAACTACCCCTTCTTTGAATATCACACCTTTCAAGATAACCTTGTTTTCAATACCACACCCTTCAAAATACCCCTTTCATTAACTCTTTATAGAAGTGATGGATCACTTGTTTTTAAATAAGTGAATGACCATTTTTTTGAATACTAAGGGTCGTTTTACACTGCATCTTTTGTGTCCAAAGGACCACTTTTATAAACAGTAACAAACTATGTTTATCTGATATAAAAAAAATGGAAAATTGTGAATCCTTTAGCTAGTTCCTGTAAAATTAAATGGGAACAACTACATCTTCTAAGCATCTTTTTTGTTAAATGTCAAGCATGAATAAGGGCCATGGAATATATAGATGAAACATAAAAGAAATTTGATGATCAAAAAAGATAGAAGAGTTCGTAATAAAGAAATGTTAGAATTATAACATGGCTCATGGGGTCATCAACAAGTAACATAGGGATCAATCTAAGCAATTTCGAAACATACCGAGAAGCATGGACCTTTCTTGAGAAAATATATTACCAGACTAACTAGGCAAAAAATATCAGTTAGTACAAGAACTTCCCTCACTCAGACAAAGAGATCAATTCATGAAGGACTTCTATTCATCCATGAAGATGCTCTAGAATGCTCTAGCACTCATGGAACCTGCAATTAAAGAAGCTTCTAGAGCAGAAATTACAAAACCAAGAAACTAATTTTGAATTATTGAACTTTTAATGGCAATTCCCCCAGAATTTGAAAGTGTCAGAAATGCCATGTTACATAAAAGTTCTCTCTTTGATCTAACTCAAGCCCTTTCTAAGTTAATTGTAGAAGAAACTAAGATTAAGTCCCTTAGTTCAGCTTCTAAGGGAGAAACAATCTTTGCTACAACTTATCCTCAAAGTCCGAATGAGACTAAATAGTAGCAAAATAATTTCTCCTATATCTCTTAAAAGAATATGTCGTCTTGTCAGATGTAATTATTGTAAAGATCTTGGACACAGGAAGTTTACATATTCAAAGAAGAAGAAAACAATCCTTACTACTATTGTTGATACAAGTCACTTAGTGAACCATTACACTGCAGCTCAAGGTACACATTACACCACTAGTACTGCTCCATCTAGGATGACACTTACACTAGAGCAATTGCAATATATGCTTTTGCAGTCTCACCAGACCTCTAAATAGATACATCCTTCTCAGACAACTTTGTTTCCATCCTAGTTAACTGTAACTCTTTTTCTGATAGTATTTATACTGCTAATGAAGCCACTGTAAATGAAGTGTTTCTAATGTCAATTATGCTCCCTTAGTTGCCATGAATTTACCTTTTGTTAGTCAGATTACTTGATCAAATTGTAATGTTTTTTATCCATATGGTTGCTATATACAAGATCAATAGTCAGGGAAGTTGATTGTGGCTGGGTATAAAGTTGGAAATCTATATTAGCTGGACTACCTTCATACGCCAAATTCTTCAATGTATTGTTTCTACCGTTGATGACACATATTTGTGGCATCAACACCTTGGTCCCATTTTTTCTTCTCGGTTACAATTTTATCATCTTGTGATGTTCTTTGTATTGCTAAAAAATAAACCTTTGTTGATTTCAAACATTGTGAAACTTGTAAACTTGAAGAATCTCATGCTTTACCCTTTTCTCAAAGTAGTTCTTTTTCATCCTCTATATTGACCTTGTACATACTGATGTGTGGGGATCCACTATTATTCAATCTAAAGCAAAATCATGATATTCCGTAACCTTCATTGATGATCACACTCGTTATACACGGGTTTTCTTTATGAATAATCACACTGAACGTTATATAATTTTCACTCAATTTTATTCATATGTAGAAATCCAATTTTCCACAAAAATTAATGCCCTAAGCTCAAATTCAGGAGGTGAATACATTAGTGGCTGCTTCAAACTATTTTCTATGACAAAAACATTCAAGAACAAAAAACCTATCCTTACACTCCAGAACAAAATGGTGTTACAAAGTGTAAAAATCGCCATTTATTAGAAACCAGAAGAGCACTTCTTCTGTCCACTTCAGTCCCCAAAGCTTTTTGGGTAGAAGTTGTTCGAACAAAAATTAATCTCATCAACATTATTGTCATCCTCTATCTTATCTAGACAAACACCCTTCAAAAAATTGTTCACTCGAGCACCGCATTATTCCCTTCTACGTGTGTTTGGATGTAGTTATTTTGTAGTCTTATCCTCAGCTGAGAGAGACAAGTTGTCTCCCATGACTATAAAATGTTGTTTCAGAGGCATCATGATCACTGAAAAGGATACGATCTACGACGACAAGACTTTTGGTATCCAAACATTTTGTGTTTTCTGAGCATATTCTTTTTTCAAAAAAATAAGGATGATAGTTCTTCCTTTGACCTTTGTTTTTCTGTTCCCCTCTTCTGATATTATTCCAACCTCTTCTAATGATTCCAATTTTGCATCTGAATTCGAAAACAAAGAATAAACTCAATCAACTAATGTTAATAATACTGATAAAACACCTACATCTATTAACTATGTGCCACTCCCTGCTCTTAGACACAAAACCTGTGTCTCTATCCCACTTGGTTGTTTAGCTCATTTTGAAACCTTCTTACCTTGGCAAGCCTTTCTTGCTTCTATGCATTCTTATTCTGAACCGCAGATTTTTATGCATTCTTATTCTGAACCTCAGACTTACACAGAGAAAGAAAGTCAGTCTGCGTGGGAACTGGTCAAGGCGCATGAGTTAAATACTCTTGATCGCATGCATACTTGGGATCTTGTACCTCTCCCTAAAGGAAAGACAACTATTGGATGTCGATGGTTGTATAAAAAATCAAAACAAAAGCAGATGACAGTATTGAATGATACAAGACTCTTCTTTTAGAAAAAGGTTACAACTAGTAACATATCAACTTTGTAGAAACTTTTGCTTCTGTAGTCCATATCACTATTGTTCAGGCACTAATTTCAGTAACCTCCATCCAACAAGGGCCCCTCTATTAGCTAGATGTTCAAAATGTTTTTTTTTTATAATGATTTTGATAAAGAAGTATATGTGAAGTTACCTACTGGAGTTGCCAGTTATCAAAATAGAGTGTGTAAACTTCGATGAACCCAATATGGAATTAAATAAGGACCCCATGCTTGGTTTGAGAAATTTCGAAGTGAAGTTGTCTCTACTGGATTTTGACAGATCCATCATAATCCAACCCAATTGCATCTGAAACTTCTAAAGGGTGGTGAAGTCCTTTGTTACTATATATGGATGACGTCATAATCTCCGGTAGTGACATGCGCATTATTAATAAAATTAAATAGAAACTCAATCAAGCATTTGAAATGAAAGATTTGGGGTTCTTGCACTATTTCCTTGGATTAGAATTGGTTTGTTCCCCTCGCAGCCATTTGCTTTTGCAATTTAAATACGCCTCATAGATTGTTCTACAAGCTCAACTAAAGGATGATACCTCTATTGTACTAAATGTTAGATTTTGGGGCTATATACGGTGAACCTCTCCCTATCTAATCTTTTACATACACCTGGTTGGGAAACTGATATATTTAACAATTTCAAGCCTAAATATTACTAATGCAACCGTCTTGAACATCATACATTACATACAGTGGCGAGTCAATTATTGAGTGCTCCTTGTTTTGTTAGTCTAGTTGTCGTCTTACGTGTCATTCGTATATTATGGATACAATCCACTAGGCTTTATTCTTCTCCACTTCTTGGTCGCTTGAGCTCTAGGCATACATAAACTCGAATTTTACAGAGAATCCAAGCGATCGCAAATCTACTACAAGGTCTTGTAATTTTCTAGGTGATTCTTTTTTATCTTGGAAAAGTAAGGAACAAACAAGTATTGCCCAATTTACAGTTGAAGCAGAATACAGGGCTATGGTACAAACTACAATTGAAATTGTTTGGCTCCATTGGTTGCTCATAGACATGGGTGTTGTTATTACCACTCCCATGCCACTTCATTGTGATAAAAAGAGTACTATTTGTATTTCAAAAAATCCTGAGTTTCATTAATACCCTAAGCATATTGAAGTTGATTCTTGCTATGTTTGATAAAAATATTTGTTGGATACAATTTATGTACCCTATATGCCTTAAACTGCTCAGCTCATGGATGTTTTTACGAAATCTCATTCTCAACGTCAATTCTCACAATTTGTTTCCAAATTCTCCATGATTCATTTCAAATCATCTCAAATTTGAGGGAGAGTGTGAACATATATAGCAATGTATACTGCATAGGCATAGAGCAGGCGTTGGTGGAAAATTACCAACAGCTGGCATTGGCAAGTTGATCATCCTTGGAAGGGGGAGAATAGCACTTGGTGACATGATACCAAGCAAGGTAGGAATTTCATGCCGCCTGCCTTCTTGAAGCCCTTTGAGCTGGAGTACCCCTAAGATTGGGAGTAGCTTGGGATCCCGCGAGCAATGTTGGTGGATGAGGAGTCACCTCTTGTGCTTGCACTTAAAGAGAGGACAAGGAATCTCTTTGATGATCTCTGCTCGATTTTTTAATGGAAACATGGTCGTAAAGTTTGTGGTCGAGAAGGGCGCCCTGTTCAGGATTATAATGCCCTCATAGGTAGTGATCCCCATTTAGCCCCTGGCATTAGTTTTCGCTATGGCCATGATTCAGAAAGGCTTAAGCCACCTCCAAGGGCTCCTTAACCAGCGCGACGATAGCCTCTTATGCGTGCTGCAATACTCCCTTACGAGCAAGGCGATACTCCTTTGTCTTCATGCTCAGCGTTAGCCCAGGCAGCGTTACTCCAAACGGCGATGCTCTACACGACGAGGCTCCATACGGCAATGCTTCACATGGCGAGCCTCCACACGTCGATGCTCCACACGGCAATGCTCCTCGAGGCACTGCCTTTTATGCGCATGGCGATACTTCCATTAGCGCACAACGATAGCCTTCTTCCTTAGCGCCGGTCGTGGGCTTCCTCCTCCTTCCTGCCGTGAGTGTCTTACATCTAGGAAAAGTGGGGTCCTTACATCATCCCCCCTTTAAAACAGATTTTGTCCCCAAAATCATACATATGAAATCAAAGAATTGGGGAAAGAAACTCACACATCCACTATCGTCCCATACAACTGTCTATTGCCTTATCCTTAGGATTACATAATCTATACTTCACATTTCAAACACAGTGTGATGCACTAACCATTCATTTGCCTTAGCATCTTCGACATTCCATCAATCCATTTAACCATCGCTAACAGGTTGACACACACACCAACATAGGTCAAGCCATTCAACTCTAAGAAAATCAATCAATTCAGCCACTACCAGCTGACGATTAGTATCAATCTGTAAATAAGGTCCGGCAATACTCACAGAGCAACACCTTACAAGCATCAATCATACAATACACTTAAAACACACATCACAAAATCACAGCCTCAAAAGTCGGCCCTGCAATACGCCCAAAGCAGTCTCCTCACTACTATCCATCATAAGTCAAGCCCTGCCACAAGCTCAGAGCAGGCTTTTTATTAATATCGGTCACAAAGTGAGGCCCTACGGTATGCTCAAAGTAGGCACCCCAGTACAATCACAATATCAGGTCCTGCAATACACTCAAAGCAGGCACCCTACAATCTCGGTCGTGGTCTTGCAATATGCTCAAAGCATATATCACAGAATCACAAAGTCGGGCCCTACAATATGCTCAAAGTAGGAACCACGGTACAATCACAATATCAGGTCCTGCAATACGCTTAAAGCAGGCATCAAACAAATTACAAATTCAGACCCTGCAATACGCTCAAAGTAGGCACCTAACAATCACAAGGTTAGGCCCTAGAATATACTCAAAGTAGGCACCTAACAAATCACAAAGTCAAGCCTTGCAATACACTCAAAGCAGGCACCCAACTATCACATGGTCAAGCCCTACAATGCGCTCAAAGTAGGCACCTGAAAAATCACAAAGTCAGGCCCTACAATATGCTCAAAGCAGACACCTAAATATCACAAGATCAGACCCTACAATACGCTCAAAGTAGGCACCTAACTATCATAAGGTCAGGCCCTACAATACGCTCGAAGTAGGGGCCCTGCAATACTCTCAAAACAGGCAACTAACTATCATAAGGTTAGGCCCTACAATACGCTCAAAGTAGGCACCTAACAAATCACAAAGTCAGGCCCTGCAATACGCTCAAGGTAGGCACCTAACTATCACAAGGTGAGGCCCTACAATACGCTCAAAGTAGGAACCTAACAAATCATAATGTCAAGCCTTGCAATACGCTCAAAGCTCGCACCTAGCTATCACAAGGTCATGCCCTACAATACGCTCAAAGTAGGTACCTAACAAATCACAAAGTCAGGCCCTGCAATATGCTCAAAGCAGGCACCTAACTATCACAAGGTCAGGCCCTACAATACACTCAAATTATGCACTTAACAAATCAGCAAGTTAGGCCTTACAATACGCTCAAAGTAGGCACCTAACGATCACAAGGTCAGGTCCTACAATACGCTCAAAGTAGGTACTTAAAAAATCACAAAGTCAGGCCCTACAATGCGCTCAAAGAAGGCACCTAACAAATCACAAGGTCAGGCCCTATAATACGCTCAAAGTAGGCACTTAACTGCATTCATACCATGTCTCACACATCACAGTTTACTCATTGCAAGGTTGACCACACGGGTCACATCATGAACACTTATCTCTTCAATCACATGGCACGTATTAGTTCGCACTAGCTAGGGGAGGACGCACCCCTTAGGCAAAGTTCCACACAGTTATCATACAAAATGATCTCTAAGGATCCCCCAAGTCAAAAGCAACAATTTAAGAACAATTAAGCAGTAAATGTCCAAATTTCATTAGATATGCCAAAATAGGGTACTACAATAATGGTGAGAGGAAACAAGGTCTAACAAAACTTTAGTTTCTACATTCTATTCAAAACACACTCTTAGTTCCCTGAAGTCGAGGCTTTAACTCCTTCCCCGACGAGTGCAAAGGCCCGACCGTGAGCCTTGGGTTTGGGTTCATCCTTCAATGTCGGGCAGTCTCTAATCAACTGGCCCGACTTGCCACAGTTGTAACATGTCTTGGTCTTCAGCCAGCACTCAGAAGCCGCATGACCCTGCTTTTGGCAAGAGGTGCAATAAACGAGCTGGCTCTGCTTGACATCACCCTGAGAGATATTTTGGGTCTTGCCATTCCTCCGACTTCCCTTTTCTCGTGGACCCCCAAAGGGCGGAGGCCCGGTCCTTCGCTTCTCTTTCCTTAGTCGATATTCATCACGTCCTTTCCCACCTTCCTAGCCAAGTCCACCAATACCGAAAAGGCCTTAAGATTGGCCGACAAAACTCTCCCTCTGATATCGGGCCGCAAACCTCTCTCAAACTTGCTTGCCTTTCTACCCTCTGTGTTGATGATATGCAGCACGTATCAGGATAGCTCTAAAAATTTGGCCACATACTGATCAACGGTTAGATTCCCTTACTGTAGTTCTATGAATTCAACCTCCTTCCTTTCCTTTATTGATTCAAGGAAATACTTTTCTTTGAAGGCCTCTAAAACTCCTTCTCAAGTAGGTACTATCTCATCCTCTTCCCAGGCCTGCTGAACCGAACACCACCAATGTTCGGCATCCCCTTCTAACATGAAGGCACCTAGTCTCAACTTCTACTCATCAGGGAACTGTAAGACTCTAAAAATATTTTCCACTTGCATTAGCCATCTCTCTGCTTTCTCTACACTTCCCTGCCCTAAGAAAGTTGGAGGTATCAGCCTCTTAAACCTCTCTATCAGGTTACTATCATTCTGCCTGGGGTAGGGGTGGATAGGGCTGGCCATGCTTCCTTCATCATCTGTATCACGGCCCCTAAGGTCTTGACAAACTCACAGAGGGCCTCAGTGTTTTCATTACTATAACTTGCATTATTGGCCCGTGTCCTCGGCATCTTCAACCTAAGATACAAGCACTTAGTTATTAATCTACCCAAAACTATTCTAAAGATACTTCTAAACTCCTTCGGCCAAGAATCCTATCCTGGCTGCTCTGATACCATACTTGTCACGACCCTGCACCCTGACCCCTACCGTACCCAACCTGAGGGCAATAGAGTGCAGATCATGATCAAAGGTCACGTATCGTCACTAAGGTGAGAGTGGCATCAACACGTGTTATAAATGAGGAATCAAAGCAAACCACGAGAAAATGCACAAACTCCCACAAGAAACAACAACAAAAACTGGATAAATTAAAACCATTCATATCCATATGAATTCTCCAAAAGTCATAACTACCGTATCCAGAATATTACAATTCATCCAAGGCATCAAAGCCTATTAACAAAATTCCAAATCTTCACAAATAGCACAAAACAACCTACGGTTAGCTGACACCTACAAAAGCAAGGAGTTATTATAGTCTAGTGTGGCCTTCAGCCCACCAAACATGATCACCGCCCGTCTGTCTTCGACCTGCAGTCGATAATCTACAAGGGTAAAAGCAAAGGAATGAGCTAAAAAAACCAGTAAGTAGATCACAGTATCATGCTTCCCTGCATATGAATATTATCACACATCACAAATCAAGGTTCTAAGTCATGCTCATAAAACAGGAGTCATGCTCACAATTACATCACAATTATAGGATGATGCTTTTCATGGTAGAGCAGGCACAATATAAGACGTAAGATATCATATACATAAGCAATCCATCAGATTTCAACAGATCCATACAAACAAGAGAGCATAACCAAATCAACAGACACAACCCACTCTCTAGCCCTATTCATCAAGCCAAAAACATATCTCAAATTAGTCATAACTCAAGTAATCATATATCTCAGGTCATTGTCACATCTCAAGTAATCACATACTAGTCACAGTATCGCAATATCAAACTACCAAAGGATGACTCATTGCGTAATACCCATATAGATCAGGGGAGCGCAACACTCCCAAATATTCACATTCACATCTTGACTCCCATCCTATCATGAGGAGTTAATGAAAGATCATAGCTGTTAACACCATCATTCACGTAGTAGGTGCCCATTCACATAACACATAAGCAACACAATACTATCATTCACATAGTAGGTACCCATTTACATAACGAATAAGCAGCACGGTACCATCATTCACACAGTAGGTACCCATTCACATAACGCATAAGCAGCTCGGTACCATCATTCACATAGCAGGTACCCATTCACATAACACATAAGCAGCATAATACCATCATTCACACAGTAGGTCCCCATTCACATAACACATAAGCAGCATGGTACCATCATTGACATTGTAGGTACCCATTCACAAAACACATAAGCAACATGATACCATCATTCACATAGTAGGTACCCATTCACATAACATAGAAGCATCACGGTACCATCATTCACACAGTAGGTACCCATTCACATAACACACAAGCAGTAATATAACATTTTGGTAGTGGCACATCACACTTTAACAACATCTGATTCAAAGAATAACGGTGTCCATATCACAGAATAATAGTGTTCATATCACAGAATAACAGTGTTCAGCTGTGACATCTGGTCATAAATAGGGTCATAAATTTTGGTTCACTAGGAATTTGATGCTGGTTCCAAAACGAATTTTACACTAGGTACACCTATCTTTCAAATCGGGGTAGTTTTAAAACAATTGGACCTTGTTTTAGCCCTTCAAAAGTTCAAAAGAATGAATATATTTTATCTGAAATCTGTTGTGCAGTGAAGGCAGTGACACGTCTTCAAAATTTACTGCATAACTCGTAATCAAAATGAAATTCCAGAAAGTGTTCAACATGTGAATTTAAGCTTACGCATGACCCGTTCAAATGAAAGTGGTTTGGAAGAAAATGGACCCATTTTGCTCATTAAAAATCCATGGTGACAGAGGCATAAATTCTGAGTTTTTATAAAATCTATCCACAGTGATATTTCTTCATAAAACAAACTATAACTTTCAATCCAAGAAAAATTTCAAAACAGTTTCTAATGCAAATTTTAGTCCATTCAAGGAGATTTCAAATGGCTATGGTGTGATCGAAAATAAACTTTGTTTGATTAATTAAAATCAGTGACCATAATACTATTAGTGAAAAATCTAGGAAAACATTCGACAGTGATATACCCTCTCAATTTGAAACATAACTTCATTTTCGTAAAGAATTTCGGCAGTGGGAAAAACTAAATATTTTTCTAGACTCGCATATTTCCAATGGCAGTAATTTTGTGTCATTTGGACTCCAATTTCAAAGTCAAATTCTCAATACAACATAAGTTACATTCCTGGAAATTACCACAGTCTGCTAAAAGTGATATACACACATAGAACGAGCCCTATCTTCCAAACTGTCAAGAATTTCAGTTATTCATACACACCAAACACAAAGTAGACTCATATGCCTTTCAAATGGTGGAGATTTGAGACCAATTGGATATCATTTGCTTAGTCAAACGTTCATCACAAGAGTGTGTAAATTCCCTGGAATTCCATTTCACAGTTTTGGCATACTTCAGAAAATGACTAATAACATCCAAACTAAAATAGATATTAAAACAAGGTATTTTCCATCTTAAAATTGCATAACCATCATAGATATTTTCATTACTCTACATATCATACAAATAAGAGTCACAGTTCTGGAAAATACAAAGCACATTTCAACCAGATCTCAATGTCATACATTTACACACATATTTACCATCACATCCATATTCATGCTTGGACTTCACACTTTGATGATCTAAATAGCATTCAACAAAATAAATTAGAAAACATGGAAGCTAGATCCACTTACCTACTGCAAATGAAACTCCAAATTCTTCCTCCAACTTCACCTTAACTGCCCAGCTCTAATGGCTAATGTCCAAGCTTAAGGAACAATGTTTGGAGAGCTCAAATGACCAAGGGAGGAGAGGTGAACGTGGGTGAGAGAGTTAAAAACCCCATTTCATGGGTGGTGAGGTGAATAAATAATCACATATAGTGGCAGCATGCAATGGACAAGTAGTGGTAGCATGAACCAAGTGGCATCACACAAATAACAAGTGGTATGCAAGAGGAGAGAGAGAAGGGCAAGCGTGGGGGACATCATTATTATGGACCCAGCAAGCATGGGAGACAAGCATCATTGTGGGTACGACAGCCTTTACCCATTGGCACACATGAAAGAGAAGAAACTCCTTAGACTACGATACCCCACCCGCGTGGCCACATGCTCCTCAACCCGCACCCTCAACAAGCGCAGCGATAACCTCTTACTCCAGTGGCAATACTCCCTTAGGCACGTGGCGATCCTCCCATGTGCGTGTGGCGATACTCCTTCGTCTTCACGCTCAGCATTAGCCCA